AGCGTCCCTTGCGTTCCTCCTCGTGCAGTCCTCCTCATTCTTCCCTCCAGGCCCTCGACCTCTCCCCCCCCCTCCACCCCCCTGCCCCCCCCACCCCTCCCCTCCCCATCCCCTGTAACCTCGCCTTGTCGAGCAGGGGGGGAGGGCAGGTGAAAGCTCCGCCTTCTTCGGCGACTTCATCGCTGACTGCGGGCCCGCCTCCGCCGCCGCTGGCCGCTTGGCCGTCGGAGTCGCCTGGGCCTTCGACTTGGCCGCGCCCTTCTTCGGAGGTGCCTGGGCCTTCGCCGCCGCCGCGCCCTTCTTCGGCCTGGCCTTGAGGACGAGCGGGGCCTCCTCGTTGTCCTCGTCCTCCTCGTCGTCCTCGTCCTCGTCCTCGCCGTCTGGCTTGGAGCTGGTGCTGGAGTCAAAGCCCTTCTCGTCCTCGCCCATCTCTTTGCTGAGGATCTTCGGGGCATCTGCGCTGCTCTCGCCGTCGTCGACATCAGCCTTCTTTGGTTTCGCCGTCGCTGGCTTTGTTTTCGGGCCCGACTTCTTGCCTGTCCAATTCATCTGCTTCTTGACGTCGGCAACGTGCGCGTTCTTCTCGGAATTGACGTCGTCTTTGTCCGCGCGCCCTTTCGCGAACTTCTCCGCGAGGCGGCTCACGAATTTCTCCTCATCAGCAAACGCCTTCGTGTCATACACCCTCATGTTCAGGATCATCTTGCCATGGTTCCCAGCCGACGAGGGATCGGCCGTGAAGATCGCCAGAAACCAGATGACGTCGTCACCTTTGCCCCTGGTGTACTTCGTGGCGTAGACCTTGGAATCGCGTTCCCACAGGCCCCATCATGATGGGGCCTCTCGGAAAGCCCAACTCAGTTAGGAAGCTGCTTCTAGGAGGGTCCTCCAAACATCCCAACTGGTCGCTCGAGAAGCGATCACTTCTCGAGTGGCCAGTTGGGTGATGTTTGGACACGTGCCCCAGCATTCGTTTACTAACCTGCCTCTGTTCAGCCTCCTCTACTCGAGTAGGCTTAGATCTAAGCCCCCCCCGCTTAACCCCTCCCCCCCCCCCTCGCTGATCATCCCTCCACCTGCCCCCCCCCCTTGGCGCCCTTCCCGCATCCCACCCACCCACCCCATTCTCTTCCCACGCCTCAGTCCTTATCGCGTCTGCCTCCTCATGCCCCAGCTCCTCTTCGAATCTCCATGCAAGCGGGTGCCTTGTTGTTGTCCTTCCACCCCTGCCAGAACATCTTGTCGGCCTTCCTGCCCATCTTCGCGTCGCCCTCCTCCTCCTTGAATTTGTTCCAGGTCAGTCCTCTTGCGGCTGGGGGCGAAGGCGCAGGCGGGCCGCCGCGGGAATGCGCTGTTTAACGAGACGAGGGGATGGACAACAGGAGGAGGGAGACAGTAGAGCATGAAAACGTGGAGGGAGGGGGCGGGGGATGACGAGGGGGAGTAGGAAGAGGATCAGCAGCAGGAGCAGAAGAAGGGGCGGGGGAAGCAGTGAATGGCTGAGAAATATTTGGAGCAGAGGCGAGGTAGAGAAAAACAAGAGATCAATGCCGAACCTCACCCCAGCACTGCCCTTCTCCCGCGTGCACTCTCACTCCCACCCCTGACGCCAACTATACTTTCCTTCGCCCCTGCCCTCCACCCCCAATCCTGGCACCGTGTACTGATAGCCGTCCTTGAAGACGGCAACGACCTCGTCGTCCTCCGAGCCTTTCGTGGGCATCTTGATGGGCTTGCAGTACTCTGGCGGGCCGCCCTGGTACGCGCGGTAAGCTGCCTGCGAGAAGGGGAGGGGACGGGGGGCGGTGCCCGGCGAGTGACAAGGAGAGTTGGGGAAAGGTCGCGGTGAGTTTGCGGTGAGTTTGCGGCGAGTCCGAGTTTGGTGCTAATGGGAATTTGTGTGTAGCACAAGAAAAATGACGGTGAGTTTGCGGTGCGTTTGAGTTGTGTCTAAGTTGATTTGGTATTGATTCCAGCCAATTGGTTGAAATCAATACCAGGCCAATGTAAGTTTGATATTACATCGCCGATGCGCCAGGTGCGCTCGGGACAGATCTGTCCTGAACGTACCTGGCACATCGGCGATGCGTTGGTTTGCTGTCGACCCGCGTCGAGGGAAACCTCCGAACAACGGCTGGATTATGCTAGCCTGATCTCCGCAGCTGCGAGACACCCTACCACGGGCAAGCCGTTTTGACCGAAGCCGAACTGTATCGCCCAGGGACGGCCTGGGGTGCACTCCAGGACGTCCCTAGGCGACGTTGAAAGCTTCCTCTATAGAGGAAGCTTTGAACGTCCGCCGTGGTGCGTGCCTCGCAGCTGCGGAGATCAGGCTAGCATAATCCAGCATAGACCTTCTCCTCCTCCTCCTTGTCCTCCTCCTCCTTCCCATCCTCCTCCTCCTCCTCCTCCTCCTCCTCCTCCTTCTCCTCCGAGTTCTCATCTTCCACTTCCTTCCACCTCCTTTTCCTCCCCCCCTCTTCCTTCTCGTAATTCCCTCTTCTTCTCCACCCAGCGGCGTCCCACCCGCATCGTCTCGTTCCAGCTGTATGTGAAGTCCTCAGCCGCAGGAGCATCGCCGCCAGCCTTCAGGGGGGGAGCGGCGCGGCAAGATAATGAGGTGCGGTGGAAAGGGTGGTGGAGGCGTGTGAGCGGCGCGTGGCCCTGTAGAAGTTCATGTGTCACCCTTCCCGCACCGCGCCCCTCCGTTCCCCATCGCCCTCCCCCCCGACCCTCTCCTATCGCTCTTCAGTCTCGTGCCCCCCCCTAATCCCCCCCCCGCTCCTCTCGCCAACTCTCTGCCCCTTCCTGTTCTCTTTGTTATTTTTCCCTTGCCCACCCCCGCCCTCTGATCCTTCTCAAAGTATGCCTTCAGCCAGGCCGGAACTGGGCGCTCTGAGGCCGTGGCTTTGAGCACCGCTTGGTCGATGTGGCGGCACATGGCCCTAATGCTTTTAGCTTTGTCGCGGGCCCAAGTTGACCTAGTGTTTGCCAACTTCCAGCACCCTTCCTTATCTATGGCAATCGTTTCGAGGAGCTGCGCCAGAGGTTTCTGAACGAGGGGGCCCTGGCGACTGATGCAGTCGCGTCGGATCCGCACGAGGAAGTCCTCGTGGGCCTTTAATGCAGAGAAGTCTGGCGCGCTCTCCATGTCCACGCTGTAGGCCAGGTCGCCTGGGACCACCAACTTTTCAATCAAGAGGGACTTGGCGTCACCTGGCTGAAAGCATAGACTAACCCACTAGAGAGGATAATGAGGACAAGGATGATAAGGAGGAGGAGGAGGACACTGGAGCTATTGACACGGGGGAAGGAGGAGGACGAGGAGGAGAGCAGGAGGGGGAGAGGAAGAGTGAGGATCATCCCTCTTGCCATCATCCTCCTTATCCTCCTCCTCCTCTTGTCCTGTGCCTTCACCGTGTGGTTTCCTCTCTCTCTCTCTCTCTCTCTCTCTCTCTCTCTCTCTTTTTTCTCTATCTCTCTCTATCTCTCTCTTTTTCCTCTTTCCCTTTTCCCAGTCACCAGGCTCCTTCCCGCGCCGCCGCGGCGGCATGGGGCCGCAGGGCGCGGCCTCCGCGCCAGACCTCCTGGGCCCTGGCGCCAGAGCCAGAAAAATGGCTCTGCGCGCGAGGAAGGAGGAGAAGGCGGATGTGTGGGCTCAGAGAGTTCCCCCCGCTCTCCTCCTCCTCGTCCTCCTCCTCCTCCTCCTCCGCCTCCTCGTCCTCCTCCCCCGTCACCTCCTCTCCCTCCTCCTCCTCCTCCTCCGCCTCCTCTTGCTTCTCATGTTCCCCCATCTCTTCTTCAGCTGTCCATGGGCATTGGAGGGCGCAAGAAAGAACAAGACCTTCGAGCAAGCATGACCCAGCGACATTTCGAAACATGAAGAGCAAATGCGTGGAAAGTTCGAGAATAGAAGGATGATATGACAACTAGTTGTGAGTATATGTGAAAATATGCGCAACTTGTATATCATACCTCATATATTATTATAGTGCTTAACAGCAAGACTTTCCCATACAAACCTAGTATTTCCTAACACACATGATTGCTATACTAGTTAAGTTCTTATTTTAAGAACTATGAGACCTCAGGGTGGCGTGGCGGGAGGCGCCGGCGAGGTTTATGCAGGTCGGGCGGCCTTTAAAGACCTAAGCGCAGGACGCCAGGAGGTTGGCGTCGTCAGGCGCGCCAGGGGCGTGGTGGGGGGGGTGCCTGCGGCGTTCTCACAGGGCGGGTGGCCCCTAAAATCTTCAGCCCAGGACGCCAAAAGGCTGTCTGTGTCAGGCGCGGCGGGGGCGTAGTAGGCGCGGTGGGGGCGCGGTGGGGGGTGTCCGTAAGTGTTGGGGTGGGGGATCCCAAGAATTGAGCTCTCGTGAAGTTGGGGTGCTGGGGCGTGGTGTGGGCGCGGTGGGAGGCGTCGAGATCCCTGTCGCGTAGGAGTAGTCTGTGCACAAGGGATGTCGCACACGCTTCTGGGGTCGGCGGATTATCAGCACTGCCCAGGCGTGGCGTTTAGCCGTCCGCAGCAAATCCTCACCTACATGCTCGTTCTACCTGTCCTCAGCGTTGCGTGCACGCGGATGCTGTGGTGTAAAGAGGCACTGAGGTGTGCCTAGGCGCTATGGTTCACGCAATCATTGTGGTGTACGCAGGCGCTGTGTCGCATATGGTTGCTGCAGTGTACGCGTTCGCTGTGGTGTACACTGGCGCTGTAGCGCACGTGAGCACTGGTGTACACAGAGGCTGCGTCGCGCACGACTGCTGCGGTGTACGCAGGCGCTGTTATGCACAAGCGCGCTGTGATGCACGCAAGCTTTCTGGGGTACACAAGCGCTGTGGGGCAAGTCGCCACCTGCATGCTGCTCGCGTCGTTGTCGTTGTCGTCGCTCGTCGCTCATCGTCGTCGCTCGCGCGGTCGCGGCTGTGGTGCCGGAGCCGCACGGCGTTACGTCATACGCCCCCTCCGCCCCCCCCCTGATGACGCCCGTCATCGCCGAGCATAAAGAAACACTCTCTAAACGGTACTGGGCTTTTGCTAAACAGTCCTGCCCTGTTCGATTCCATCTTTGGGCGCGTTTACTAAACGGCCTCGATTGTCGGGGTGGTTGTTGTAGGGGTGGGTTTTTTGCCTTCGATTTTTGTGGCGATCGCAAGCAGCAGCTGGTGCAAATGCTCCGCTTTGCTGGCGCAGTGCCTCTTCCCTCTCGAGGCGTATCCTCTCCACTCCCTTTTGGATCGGAGCAGAATCGCAGGCCCAGAGGTTAGCAGCAACACCACTATCGGCGGCGTGCCGCCACCGAGGGAAGAAGATCCCGATCTAGGTGATGGTGGTGATATTCTGGCTTCCAAGGCAGCCGAAATATTACCACCAACACCGCAATACAGGATCCTTTCCCCCCTGTGGAGGCATTCCCCTGTGCCTGTGCTGGTGCCCGTTTTCAAAGCCTCCTGCAGAAGCAGGCGAATATTTAAACGTCTGCCCTGCTCGAGCCGCTGCCGCGACCTCAAGGGCAGCGCGCTGCACGCCATCCCGCCGACCACTGGCAGGCGCTCTCCTCCCTCGTCCCTCAGTCTACCTTCGAGTCGGGCCTGTCTCTCTACAAGGGCGATATTCCAAAATAGTCGAAGAAATGGTCTGGGACCATCTTTTTCCTATTCTTGAGCATGTTTGCCATGTTTTCTTAATATGTTCAATTTTTCGCCCAAAATCCCCCTGTAGGGGGGACAGGCCCGACCTAAGGCAACGCGCTGCACGCCATCCCGCCGACCACTGGCAGGCGCTCTCCTCCCTCGTCCCTCAGTCTACCTCCTTGCCCTTCCTTCACCTCTTGGAAAGGGTGGGGCGCTGTCGCTGGCGGTCGGGAGTACGAAGCTCGCGAGTCTGATTGCGATCTGCGTGGGTCAAGCCGGCGCGCTTCCAAGACCGTCTCTTCGAAGAACATTCCTCCAGTTCCTCTAGTTTCGCATTGGACATTCTGCTTGTTCTGTGCGCGGAGCGCTTGTTGGTACTATACGGGCCGAACTTTGTAAAATTGACGAAAGTCTGTCCAAACGGCGCTCTCGCCTCGGCGCGGGCTGCACACCGCCAGCGTCACCTGCACGCCGTGGCCAGATTAAGAGCGAATCGTGAGGATGTCTCAGCAGAAACCAGCTTTCTTGGTTCAGATGGGCGAATCAAACGCACGCTTGACGAAAGTCAAACTCGAAGCGATATCTCGGCAGATTGGGCCAGTTTGAGTGCCGCTAGTTTCCGTCGAACGCGTGCGGAGCAAGTGTCCGACGGTGATTACAGATCATTGTGCAGGCAGTTGCACGTCTCGTGGAGGATAATGCAGTGTTTGTTCTTGGCTCCTACGTCGCGAATTCTTGTCATCCGTGTCGCGCCTCCGTCTGCTCACGCCCTCCTCACGATAATAATCATCGCGATGTGACGCGCATAGCACTTGGGCAACACAAGGGGGTGCCGCCAGGGGATAGGTCACTTAACGGTTCGTGCCCAGATTGTGGGGACGTCTCCAGCGGTTCGCTTGTTTCACGGATGTAGGCGCGTCTTTTTCAGGGCCGCGTGGTGTTCGCGATGTCGCGACCGCCGTTGTTGGGCGCCACAGTGGGGAGCGACCACAGGGTAGGACACTTGCCCGTTGGTGCCCAGCATTCGGTGATATCTCACGCGAGACGTTGGGTTTTTTAGCTCAGCTTGGACTCTCCGAGTCCTTGCGGTCATTGCGGCTGCTGTTCTGTCGACGATTGTGAGGATAGTCGAATGACCTTCTACACATCCCGCCTCCGTGCCTGGCTTGTGGGCGTGAAGCTTGTTGGATGTTCGTTGGGATCTCGTGGGAGACCTCTCGGGGGCCTCTTGGGGGCAGTTTGAAAGTCTCTTGGGGGCCGTTTTGGGGCCTCTTTGGAGAATCTTAGGGCCTTTGGGGGCCTCTCGGGGGCCTCTTGGGGGCCTCTTGGGGCCTCTTGGGGGCCTCTTGGGGGCCTTTTGGGCGCCTCTTGGTGCCTCCTGGGGGCCCTCTTGGGCTGTTTTGGGACCCTCTTGGAGGCCTCGTGGGCCGTCTTCAGGCGGTATTGGGGGCGTCGAGGGCCGTTTGGGAGCGTCGGGAAACTAACACGGCAAAAATGCCGAACTCGTTTCAAAACGTTTGAAACATCAAGAATGTTGGCCTCTTGGAGTCCTCTTGGGAGGCTACTTGGGTCCTCTCGGAGGCCACCACCGCACCCATTTCGGCATACCCCTCAAACGTTTCGTGGCCCCATAGGGAGCTCCGCCGAACGCCCTAGCGTTTGCGCTCGCATGCCACCACCGTACCAAATTCGGCACACCCACATGTTTTGTGGAAAGAGCGCCAGTGGATCACCTTGGACTTTAAAAGGGGGGGTGTGCTCCAGGGAACCCCCCCCCCACCCTCCCCCCCTTCATGGGGGAGGGGGTCCGAAGAACCCCCCCGGCCCCTCCCCCCCTTTAAGGGGGGGGGGGTCGAACCCTCCCCCCCCCACTCTTGAAAGGGGGGGGGTTCGGAACCCCTCCCCCCCCCCCCCTTGAAGGGGGGGGGGGGTTCGGAACCCCCCCACCCCCCTCCCCCCCTTTCCGCAGGGGTCCGGGGCGCGCGAGGCGAGCGAGGTTTAGGGTTTAGGGTTTAGGGTTAGGGTTAGGGGCTAGGGCTTGGGCTTAGGGTTTAGGGTTTAGGGTTTAGGGTTTAGGGTTTAGGGTCTAACAGGGCAAGGCCAATAATACCTACCCGCATAGGCACCCACCTGCGGCGGCTATCAATCCCCCCCGCATCTCCACCCCCACATAAAGATCATCTCTCCTCTCATGTTATACCCTAACGGGCGCGAATGCCGACCCAGCACACGCTCGCCAGCCGATCCGTGTGGGCCGAAGCGTGTCCGACGAACCGTGTCTGCCAAGTGTCTACCGAACCGCGTCTGGCGAACCGTGTCATCCGAACCGTGTCAGCCACGCAGTGTCAACCCGTCTCAGCCCAACCGTGTCACTGGCGCCGTGTCAGCCATGCCGTGTCAGACGCTCCGTCCCAACCACACCGTGTCATCAGAACCGACGCTGCAAAACCGTGTCAGCCGAAGCGTATCAGCCGAACCGAACCGAACAGTATCAGCCAAACCATGTCAGACGAACACTCTCAGCCAAAGCGTGTCGACAGAACCGCGTCAGCCGAAACGTGCCAACCGAACCGTGTCAACCGAAGCGCGTCCGCCGAACCGTGTCAACAGCACAAGAAAGTAACCCTGAGAAGCACGCGATGAGAACTGCCACAGGATAACACTGGATGCATGCGACAAAGGCTCAGCCGCGCGCGTGTGCACTTTGTCGTATGTTTTGCAATGGAATATAAACATGGACACATCTTGCAAGAACAGGATGTTAAGATTATAGTATTTTTACAAGAGAAAGCTCCGGTACACTTCCACGCCCGCGACGCGCGTGTGCACTTTGTCGTATTTTTTGCAATGGAATATGGACATGGACACATCTTGCAAGAGCAGGATTTTAAGGTTATAGTATTTCTACAAGAGAAAGCTCCGGTACACTTCCCGGCCCGCGACCCGGCCCGCGATCCGGGTTGGGCAGAATGTATTGTTAAAAAATAAAGTTTTCTGATATATGCGATGCGCATGATCAGGATATAGTGTTTTTTGACAGGGATCAGCCCGGCCCGTTTATAGAGCCGGTCACGATCCATTGTAAAAAACATTGTTTTCAGAGCACATAGAGAGCGCATGATCAGGAAATAGTATTTTTTGCAAGAGATAGAGGGGGGATGCATAGCGCCCGGTTTTGAAGGATTTAGGGTTTAATAATAAAAATAATAGAGATTAGAGATTTAGGGTCTAACAGGGCAAGGCCAAGAATACCTACCCGCATAGGCACCCACCTGCGGCGGCTATCAATCCCCCCCGCGTCTCCACCCCCACATAAAGATCATCTCTCCATTCAAGTCGTACAGGGGGAGGGTCGATTGCATATAGTCGTACAGCCCGAGAGGGGTTCCGTGCGTGCCCGCTCGCAGATGGTGAGGATATGATCGATTGCATATAGTCGTGCAGCCCGAGAGGGGTTCCGTGCGTGCCCGCTAGCAGATGGTGAGGGTATGCATGGGTCGATTGCATGTAGTCGTACAGCCCGAGAGGGGTTCCACGCGTGCCCGCTCGCAGATGAGGGTATGCATGGGTCGATTGCATGTAGTCGTACAGCCCGAGAGGGGTTCCGTGCGTGCCCGCTAGCAGATGGTGAGGGTCTGCATAGGTCGATTGCATGTAGTCGTACAGCCCGAGAGGGGTTCCGCGCGTGCCCGCTCGCAGATGGCGAGGGTATGCATGGGGAAAGTGCACGTCGGAGACGATGGATGATCAGGATGTAGTGTTTGTTGCCGTAGATCGTGAGGGTTTGCATGGCGGGTCGGGCAGGATATAGTGATTTTTCATAGGGAAAGTGCACATCGGAGACGATGGATGATCAGGATGTAGCGTTTTGTGCATAGGATTGTGGGGGGTTTACATGGCGAAGCGCAGAGCGAAGCGCAGGGCGAAGCGCAGGGCGTGCCGCGGAAAATCAGGAAATCAGGCTTTAGAGACTAATAATTATAGAGATTAGAGATTTAGGGATTAGGGATTAGGGATTAGGGTTTAGGGTTAACAGGGCAAGGCCAAGAATACCTACCCGCATAGGCACCCACCTGCGGCGGCTATGAATCCCCCCCGCATCTCCACCCCCACATAAAGATCATCTCTCCATTCAAGTCGTACAGGGGGAGGGTCGATTGCATATAGTCGTACAGCCCGAGAGGGGTTCCGCGCGTGCCCGCTCGCAGATGGTGAGGATATGATCGATTGCATATAGCCGTACAGCCCGAGAGGGGTTCCGCGCGTGCCCGCTAGCAGATGGTGAGGGTATGCATGGGTCGATTGCATGTAGTCGTACAGCCCGAGAGGGGTTCCACGCGTGCCCGCTCGCAGATGGTGAGGGTATGCATGGGTCGATTGCATGTAGTCGTACAGCCCGAGAGGGGTTCCGTGCGTGCACGCTCGCAGATGGTGGGGGTATGCATGGGCCGATTGCATGTAGTCGTACAGCCCGAGAGGGGTCCCGCGCGTGCCCGCTTGCAGATGGTGAGGGTATGCATGGGGAAAGTGCACATCGGAGACGATGGATGATCAGGATGTAGTGTTTTTTTGCAGTAGATCGTGAGGGTTTGCATCGCGGGTCGGGCAGGATATAGTGATTTTTCATAGAGAAAGTGCACATCGGGGACGATGGATGATCAGGATATAGTGTTGTTTGCAATAGATCGTGGGGGGGTTACAGGGCGAAGCGCAGGGCGAAGCGCAGGGCGTGCCGCGAAAAATCAGGAAATTGTGCTTTAGAGTTTAATAATTATAGAGATTAGATATTTAGGGTTTAGGGTTTAGGGTTTAAGGTTTAGGGTTTAGGATTTTGGCCTTGCACAGCAGGGCTTCGGGATGGAAAACATGCCACCAAATGCGTGCGGGCACGCACAAAGCTCGATCTCACACGCGTGACCGACGCGTCGCGTGCGTGCCCGCTGGCGCTTGGTGGCCGCGTGCGGGGGCTCGGCGTCGCGGAGGGGGTACCAAACGCGAGCGGGCACGCACGCGACGCGTCGGTCACGCGTGTGAGATCGAGCTTTGTGCGTGCCCGCTCGCATTGGGTGGCCCCTAACGCCTTCTCGGGGGCCCTCTGGGGACTTGAGATCTGGCCATTTGCTCGTGTTTGACGCGTGAGATCTAGATTTCGCTTAGGAAACACGAGCAAATGGCGAGATCTCCCCTGAGATCTGGCCATTTGCTCGTGTCTGACGCGTGAGATCTAGATCTCGCCTAGGAAACAATAGCAAATCGCGAGATCTCGCCTGAGATCTGGCCATTTGCTTGTGTTTGACGCGTGAGATCTAGATCTCGCTTAGGAAACGCGAGCAAATGGCGAGATCTCGCTTGAGATCTGGTCATTTGCTCGTGTTTGACGCGTGAGATCTGGATCTCGCCTAGGAATCGCGAGCAAATGGCGAGATCTCGCTTGAGATCTGGCCATTTGCTTGTGTTTGACGCCTGAGATCTAAATCCCGCTTAGGAAACACGA